GCCAAGCTTCTATTTGTTCGAGAGGTTCTGTAAATAAAATGAAAATGATTAATACTAAATCTAATTCAATTAATGATTATAAAGAATTTTGATTACAAAAATGATACATTGTAATAAGACTAGATTTTAATTAAATATGTCATGAAAATAAAAATTAGACCATTGACAGATATAGAGAATATATCGACACTCAACCTCTGAAAAGAAAAAAAGATAAGTATAACTCTATTCTTTTTGAACTAATATGAGTAGAAGAGCAAGTATGAGATAACGAAGACAGAATTGAGAAATTTGAAAGGTAAATTTTTATAAGAAATAATGCTATGAGTATAATCTGTAAATTAAATTATATAGAATTGTTTAATAAAATATATATACTTTGTATTATACAAGTAACTTTTGATATAAGAAGCCTTCAATATAAGAAAAACTAATTATACTCTCAGTATAAGAAAGTCAAGCCAAAACCATTCTATAGTAAATCTACTTGATATAAGAAAGTTATTAATAAACTCTTGATATAAGAAAGGTTTGTAAAATTTTTACTATGGGCCTGGCCACCTTTCTTATATCAAGATTCACTTGTACAATAGCAATATCATTCTTTAAAGAAACTCCCAAGGTTGATGTCATGAATGATAGCTCTTTAATCTGACTCTGGATGGTGTAATCGATGAATCCAAAATTATTGTATATCAAGTGGCAATTGATGATTTATTAAGAGATGAACGGTATATCATTTATGAGATTTTATTTATTTTTACTTAACATCCTAAAATGCAAGTGCAATTCTATAACATATTTTACAATTTTTCAAGAGTAATTTGTCGAGAGTAATAATAAAATGGTCGCTGAAAAATTATTATTAAATTTTTTTAATGCTTATTTACTGAACACTTTGGATTAAATATAGTATAGGTAATACCTACTTGATTATTTATTAAGGTTTCACCTATACTATATTTTATCCAAAAATTTTTATTAATATAATAATGAAAAAGAAATTTATAATAATAGTAACGATAAAAGTCCATAACAAGAAGTATGAAACTGCTTGAATGATAAACTCAATAAACAAGTGCTAAAAAAGATCCAAATCTTTCAGCATGGTATTCTTGAAAGTATATCAGCCTTTTCTTTTTTCTGATCCCAAAGATTCAATATTTTAGTATAGAGATCTTGTATAGTATACTATTAGTACTTTCCCTTAAGCTTATTATTTCGAATATTTAAATCATTCAACATAATACCCTTGTAAAGTATATCTGCTAGCACTTCCTCATTATCGTCCAAGATTATTGCTTTGAAAGTTCAATTTTTTTAGTATAGAACTCTAATAAAGTATACCATTAGTGCTTTTCCTCCTTATTATCTTGAAGATTTAGATTTTTTAGTGCAAAGTGCATTTTTTCTCCTTATAATCCCAAAAAATTATATTGAAAATTCGAATCTTTTAATGTAGAGTTCTTGCAAAGTATATTGCTAATGTTTTTCCTCTGTCAGATCTAAACTTATTATATTGAAGATTCAGATCTTTCAGCATAGTATTCTTGCAAAGTAAACCTGCTAATATTTTTTCTCTTTGCGATCTAAAATTAATAAATTAAAAAATCTAAAATGAATTTTTTCAAAATATGTCTACTAACTTTTCTTCTTTTTAATCTACCGAAGTTTAAATTTTTCAATAATGATATTCTTGCAAGATGCATCTGCATATAAGTTTTTCTATAGCAGTATTCTTTTAAGTATATCTGTGAATACATTTCTTCAAGTTAGTTCTGGGCAAGACACAACTACAAGTAAAATAAAAGCTACAATACTAATACAGCCGTGGCCAACAAGTGTAAAACTACAAACTACCTACCAGAAGTAGCAACCACAAGCAAGACAAAGTTATATTATCCATGCAATAATAGCCAACAATGTTCACCAAACTAGTCTTTGTGTGCTTCTCACTTTGGGTTTTTTGTTTTTTGTTTGAAGATTTAATAGATTTAATTGAATTA